TTTAAATTTGCTTCCGACGCCAATGCTGTAACATGTATAATTATTACAGATATTAACATGATAAAGTAATAGACAGCTGCAGAATACAACATATGATGAAGAGTAATTCTTCCATTAAGTACAAGTATATATACTGGTGGCATTTCTAAGTTTCATATGTAGACGTGCACGATGGGTTGTTGTGCAAATATGTGCATTATTATTTATTAATAATATAGGACATGTAAACAATGATGATCAGTTGGAATAATCATAAAAACAAGAAATACAATATTCCTTTCATATCATTTCTTATTCATAAATATATTTAAAAACAGTCTGCTACATACTTGTTTATTGAATTTAGATAGCGTTAACACATTTTAAAATGTAAGCTCCCAAGTGACAAACATATATAGGATTTCTAATTTTTTTTTCAAAATATGACGAAAACATGCCACAGCTTATTATGTTTTTCTTACAGGGATCATTAATTGTTGTCAATACAGTAATATTATTCTTTTTTTCAGTACTTTTTAAGAAATTAGTTAGAATAGAATATGCGTTTTTTTTTTTTTTGTTTTTTTTTTTTTTTGTTTTGGTTTTTTGGTTTTTTTTTTTTTTTTTTTTTTTTTGTAATTTAACAAAATTAAATGTACACTACCTGAGAATGTTTCCACGTAAATTCCATCTTTCCTGGCACAGTGGTTCTTGAGAAGAAGATTTTAAAATAATTAATCATATCACCAAATTTTCACTATTTCTAAATTAACTCCCCATGAATAAGGGCGTGGCCTTTCATTTGAACAAATTTTAATCCCCTTCACCAAGGATCTTTTAATTTAATTGTGGCAAGTGTATTTAAAATTGGACCAGTATTTGGTTCTGAAGAAGAGGTTGAAATGCAAAAAGTTTACAGGCAGACGGATGGACAGCTAGACAGATGGACCACAGACAAAGTGCGATCAGAAAAGCTCACTAGAGCTTTCAGCACCGTGGCGGTGAGCTAAAAACTGAATTTAAAAACGCGTACTAGTACATTAATATATTTATACTTTTGAAAGGGGCGAGAGAACTTATTGAACTGACTTTTCAACTTATATTTCACTTAATTATATTAATTTAACACATATTTTTCACATGTACAATTTCTAAAATTTGCCTAAGAGAACGCTATAATATCTACAGTTTTTTTTTTTTTTTTTAATGATAATAACTTAATTTATCGGTTAATGTCATGCGTAAAATACACTGTATGTTTTTCTTTTCTCTTTTTTTTTTTATAAATATTATAATAATCTATTGACATTTTTTCCACAATCTAAATATTCGCTTATTCAGTTATTGAACATTCTGACATTAAAAAAGTTTGTAACGCAAAAATTGCGGGAAATTTTTCCGTAGTGTAGCAGGTGCGTGATCACGTGACACAAGTTTCCCTGACGAAGAATGACGATTCGGTTGTTTACAACATGGCGGATGCCATAGGCGGCAAACCCCAAACTCTGTATTATTAATCGCAGAATTCTTGATTGTTAAGGGTGTAATTTTTCTCTAGGTAAGTAATAATCAATTCGTTATTTTATGTTTAATAATTCAATATTTCTTCCCGTCCATTGCTTTCTTAACATACGTTTAGCATCTATTATGTTCGAATTTCCTCTAAACACATGATCAAGATTCTTGGTGTATTGTAGATATTGAAAAGAGGATGAATATTGAAAATATAATTATTGCGAACTGTTGACGATATGAGAAATTGTATTGAAACTATCACTCTTATTTATTGCAAATGCAGTTGTTTTGATAACGCTTTGAAAGGCATGTACTTTCATTTTTAGTTGTACATCAGATTTAATTTTTCTCTCGTGACATAGGTCTCTTTTCTCTTTTTAAACAAGATTTAAATTAACATTTAGTTATATTGGGTTTTGATCATGTTGAAGTATAATGGTTTTGTGCTCGTATAGATTTGTACCAGATTGATATGGGTAAGTTTCCTAATGTAAAAAATTTTGAAAATTTTATATATAGTTGTTTTCTTAACTTTACATTTCATGTATCAGGACTTTGTTAAAAAACAAAAACAAAATGTCACAATTTAATGACCGACACATTGTTGGCTTGTTCTAATAGAAGGAAGCAATATGGTTTGAAACTAATGGCATTATGCTTGTCAGAAATATCATTTCCTATTCTTAGAAAGATATTATACACCTTTTTTTGTATCGAAGTGCAAGTTTAACTCTAGTATGGATAAAAAGGGTTATTTTGTTCAAGAAGAAGCCATTATATTTACATAAATAAGCAACTGTTGCAACATATGTCATTCTATCACGGTGGCATTGTTAGATTCCTTAGATTTCTATTCATAGATTTCTTTAAAATCTTTTTAAAGATCATAATTTTATTTTCAAAATTTTAGATATTCAGAATTAAGTGGACCATAAAAAGTAATGTATTTCCTTCCTGAGAAAAAAATCTCTTTCACAAGATGAGTTTTATTTCATATAATTTACCTCATGTTTTAAAGTAAAATAACCAACTGAAATTACATGTGAAACAAACAAGAATACATAGAAAAAATTGAACCAAATTTTTACTTTATCCATGTACTTTTTAACAAAAATAGAGAGGGTGAGTAGTTCATTTAGGACTGTTGATTGTGGTGTAAATTTGAATCGATTATAGATGGTTTGATAGCCATCTCCCCCATGTAATGTGTGAGTGTATGTAGAATTACCTTTCCACAGGTCATATTTCTTTTGGTTTCCAAGAAGTTGTTGACTACAGTCTTATGCTTATGATGAATTATTGATGCCTTTCCTAATTAAAGTCCAGCAGAGCTATAGTATCTGATGTTCCTTTTCTTTTAGTCTTATCATGAATTAAGATTTGACAACCATTTTCACATGAAAACTTCAAAATAAAAAAAAATCTGCTTGTAAGGTTAAAAATCTCTTTCATGACATCAAAGCCTATAAAATAGTATAATCCTGATTAGATATAAGATGAGCCATATAAAATGCCAGTGTTGTATAATAACAGTGCTGTAAGCCATTGTCGATGAATTATTAAGTATTGTGTAGTGTAACTTCATGGCTACCTTTCCCCAGTGTTGCTCAGTTTGGAAAATCAATGAATTTTATTGCCGTTTAATTTCCATGGTTATGATATTTGTTTTAGTCTCAAGGACCAGATGCTTGACCTAACTATTTTATTGCTCCGTATAAAGTCAGACTTACATATTTTACTGATTCTGAAGTGTTAAGACTTTTTCTCTGTACTATAGCTAAAATTCGGATCCGAAAAGTTCATGGATCAGTTTCCCAGCTTCCTTACGTATCAGTTTTGTTATGACAATTCATGACATTATATAACAATGTAAACATGTATAAGAGATTTTGGAATGTACTAGTGTGCCTTAAATGAGTACATGCAATCTTGAATTTTATGAGTCACAATACTTGGAATAATACACTGTTGTAAGTATTGGTTATTATATAAATAAATTGCTTTTAAAGGTGTGCTTCTCATTTCAAATTTGTTAATTTTACTTTTACTGATTACTACTTTTGCATATGATATGTCTTTACTCCATCATTTTATATATTGAATTAATTTGAATAGAATGTGATATCTAACAGTAAATAAATTGTGTATTAATTTAAAAGCGAAGGAATTTAATCAATATCCTAATGATCGAAATTTCATTAGAACTGTGCAGTAATCCCCTTTATAAGAGAACTTTGATTGATGACAGTAATGTTTTCCATCATACAGGTATTTTGTGTTTTAACATATTTGACTCAATCTCTACAACTGAGTCTGTCATTGAAGGGGTTGCTACTGGGTGATTGTTTATGCAGCGTAAAGTTTTAAATCTTTGTTTACTGGGTAGGTTCTGATATAAGTATAAAATGTCGATCTTATCTGAGGGGGTATTTAAGGGAAGATAAGTTTGGGGAGAGGAATAGAATCACAGAGCTTTAGGTGATTTGGGTTGGTATTTTAAATTGCTTAAAACTTTGGCCCAAGTGTTTAAAATTTGTTAAATGTGTAGCCATTTTCAATGTGCCTTTTTTAAGGGGGAGGGGTATGATAAAAAAAATAAGATTTTGAAAATGTCTTTATTACATTACAATTCCAGCTAGTTTATAAAAGTATAGCATTTTTGTAGTACACTGTAATTAATACAGTCCTTTTTTGTAATATTTTGAAGGAATTACATTTTGAAAATGTTCATGCATCATCCGAAGCCTTAATACATAAACAGCTTTGGTAATTTAAGTTTAAGAACATGACATATACAGTGTAAAAAGGAGTAAACATTGTCTTCACCATGTGATATATCCAAGTTAATCAATACAAGAGGACATTATGGTAGTTGATACCCCTTCACTGTTTTACAACCTCCAGGAGAAATCATATAAAACACCTTGGTGAAGGAATTTGGAGTACCTGGGTTATTCAGAACTGTTTTTATGAAGCATCAAATGTGTATATTTCAAGTTTATATTGAATCTTAAAAGTGACAAAATCGTATACATAGCATGTACATGTTGTATTATAGCTGACTGACTTTAAGCAACTTTTTAGTTTATATCTTTTATCCTGTATATTTTATGGAGTCATTAAAAAAGTCATTATATTCTCAGAAAATTCATTCTTGATAACTGGTAAAAGCTTAAACCAGAAGCAATATATGCACTGGTACACAGGTAGCCATTGTTTTGAGTCATAATACCTGTACAGAAATTTACCTGGGTAATATAATTTAAACCCAAACAAGGACAGGATTTTGTGTTAATAATCTCCCAGCTTGTTTGACTAGATATCTAGCCATTGATACATCAATCCAAAACTTGTCGCTATATCAAACACACTTTCAAACGGGTATAGATCTGCAGTGCAAAGATTTCTCGGTCATGTAGGTATAGGTGGAAGCTAGGACTCTTACGTGAAAGTTCCGATTTAAAATTTCTGTTTTAATTTCCTATCTCGAGCTACAATTTGATAGGGTTTCTAATGGCAGCAGCTTGCTTGTGTACTATCAATAAAGGTGAATGAATATTAGTCATACTAATTAACACCCAAAATATTTTAAAATATGGAGGAATTTTTTTAAATTCTTAAATATTTGTTGGAATTTAACAGGTTTTTAAGTGTCTGGAATATAAATATACAAACTATGGAAACTGTTCAAGGTAAATATGTGTAAATGTTTTTGTATAGAATTATAATATATATATATACGTGTAATAAGCTAACTAAATAGAAAGTAGATTGTTGTGTTATATAAGGAAATTAAACCATTAATTAAGTGTGATGAGTGACATGTATGTTCGTAGTCTAATTTAGGGGAACAGTCACATTTTGCTAAACTCATTTTGCTAAATATGCCTTTTCATAGACTTTTCAGATATTTATATTGGCTAGTAAAACTTGTTATACATGTACCCCCCTCAAATAAAGTTTGGAAACAGCTTTTCTGTTTGTGCAAAAGTGTCCGATCCATATCTTTCTTATGGAGGCCAGAATATTAAAATCTGTTACTTCATACAAAGATTGCTCATGACCTAACTGTGTGTCATGACCTAAGCACAAGGTCATTTGGCATGTTCAAGGTCACTGAAAGAAAAATTTCATATATCTTGTCTGGTCCATAATATGTTCTTAATATATATAAACTTGTGAGTTTCCATTTTAGGCAAAGATTGCTTATGACCTGAGGGTTTGTCATGACCTAGAGTAAAATATATTTGTGCAAGTTCAAGGTCATGCATTAAAAGAAAAAGTGCATAATTTGTGTCTGGTCCATATCTTTCTTATGGATAAGCTTGTTGGGTTTATTATTATCTGAGGGTGTGATATGACCTTGACACTAGGTCATTTGTGCAAGTTCAAGGTAAGTGAAAGAAATAGTTCATCAATTCATGTCTGGACCATATTCTTTCTTATGGATAAACACTGGGTTCAAGGTGACTAAAGGAAAAAGTTCATAATTCATGTTTCATCAAATCTTCCTTATGCAAAAGATTGGAATCTACTACTTCACACAAAGATTGCTTATGACCTGAGGGTGTGATATGACCTTTATCCAAGGTCATTTCTGCAAGTTAAAGGTCACTGAAAGAAAAGTTTATTAACTCATACCTGGTATATATCTTTCAAATGGATAAACACAATGAATCCTAGATGAATCCCATTATACACAAAGATTACTTGAGACCTGAGGGTGTGTCATGACTTTGACCCAAGGTCATTCCTGCACTCTCAAGGTCACTAAAAGAAAAAGTTTATAATTTGTGTTCAGCCTGTATCATCAATATTGATGTTTTTTAGGCTATGTCTTAGTTTCATTTATTAAAAATATGTAATGATCAATTACCAGTAAATTTTCACTTTAAATGCTTAAACAAATTTTGAACACAAATACTAGTATTAGTGACTTGGCACCTTCTCTGAAAAAACTAGTGTGTGTGTGTGTGGGGGGGGGGGGGGGGTATTTGTCTCTTTTGGACTGTGAGTTCTGGTTTAAAGCCGCTTCATCCGAAACAGGCACATATTATCTTAAAAAATAAAAGTATGTCATTACATAAATAATATATAAAAATTAATCATAAGATTGATTTAATAGTTTATTACAACAATCCTTACATGGAAAACAGAGACCAAAAACCTTGTTGACAAACAGCAGTTCCTGACGGGAAGTTAAGATCTGTTTTGAAGTCACCTTTGAAAAAAATACTTTTATCGGCTATATCTAGTTATGAAGAGAATTCAAACCCGAGTATTTTTTTCCATTAATAGAATCCTAAGTCATGATATATCTTTTAAAAATTAAGAAATTTAAATTGAATATAATCCATAGTAATTTTTATATTAATATGCATATTTACAGAATAAAGGAAAATCAGATATTTTTAAAGATTTTTTAAAAAGGGAGTTTAGTAACGAGGGCTAGAATATTGCCCATGTACACTTTGTTGTGGAAAAAATGCTCGGGTTTGTTCTTCATGAGTTACACATGTAAGCGATAAATTTAATTTTTTGAAGGTGATTTCACGCAAGGTCAACAAATGTCAACAAAGGATTATTTTTTGTGTGACCTAACAAAAATTTATTTTTTTTAACTTTTGAATTTTGATATCTTTAAAAAGAAAAAGACTTTGGGGATATGATTTGACAAAAGTTGAAATAATTTATGGACAATTATTTTTCAAAAAGAAAAACGAATCTATATTTTTAGCAATTAGAATTGGACCAAGCGGCTTTAAAATATACAAAATATACTGAAATGACCATCTAGAAATTCAGGACGAGGGAGGGATGATGCAAAGAATACAATAATGTAAGGGTTCAAATTTAGGGAAGTAGGATTGGAACACGAGAAGGAGCAATGATACACTGTATTTTTGATGTTTGAAGAATAAATTTACATACTGTAGAAGTACATTTTTCCGCATGGTATTAATTTACGCTATGTACGCGGTCACAAATTTTCCACGGAGTTTTGTCCAAGCGTACTTAATGTAAATGTAAGGCATGTAGTAACAGTCTAAGAAATCTGTGTAATTTTCTACCCATGGATCAAACAGAAATTGAGATTCCGCGGAATTATGACCCAGTGAAAAAAGTACCTCTACAGTATTCAGTAAAATACCAATATTTTGCTTTTAATATAATAGCACCCTGTTTACTTAGAGCATTATATTTAACTATATAAATCTTGTAGTTTTTAAGAACAACACTATTACAAATAATTAAATGTCTTTCAAATTATTATATATTAACTGGTGCATTTTAAAAAGACAATAAATCTAACCATGTCATTCATCAAAATGTCATGCTATTATTTGTTTAGTATAAGTATGCACTTAGCTGGATTATTTCACAGATAGTGCAAGAAAGTATTATTTAATTAATAAAGTAGATGCCATTTAACATATAGCAAAATTTGGCGGTTTGATTGATAGCAGCTTCATCTTTTCAAGATATCGATATAAGTTACCATTGTTACAATATTGATTTAAGGCTGTGTAGCTGCCTGCTCTCTTTGTAATGCATAATCAGTTAATTGGTAGTTTTAAAGTGCACATTAAAATTGAAATCGCATAGATTGCAATTTTTTTCTCAGTATGTCTGCTTAGAGAAAACTAGTCTAATAGTTGGGTTACCAAGAGGTGTGCTTGTTTTGTGGATATTTTGCTTTATCTACATTTTAGGTATTTATTTCTTGATAACAGAAAACACTTCAAGTGTATATTATTTATCTCATTGTGTACCCAAAATTAAGATGTTTACTCTCACTTCAGTGAAATCCTTTGATATCCACTAAACAATTGTTTGGCTGAAAGTTAAATTTCTCTCTCTTTTTCTCTCATCCACAACGTAAATCATACCTATATCTTCACAACAATATTTATTTTCTACACTGAATGAAGTAACAAAAAGCTGCATCTTATTTTTATTGTATACATCTATTACACATGAAATTTGAGATAATGTGATTGAATAATATACATGTATCAAACTGCAATGTGTATGTACTACATGAAATTAAGTTTGAATGAAAATCCTTTGAACCCAAATTACCCAATGTATTAAAAAAAATTCTCTTTTGATTCTGATATGGCCTAGAAAAAAAATATGTTCGTTTCCGCTTTCCCGACCGACCCTAATTTATAGTGCCGACCCTAAATATTTTTTTAATGCTTTTGTCCCATGATGAGCAAGATATCAACTAGGGAATTATAGCCTCCAACTTTGCAAGCTTTTCAAGACAGAAAGAAGTTTGGGTGTGACCTTTCTATTATAAGTTAAGTCACAGTAATGCTTGAAAACACCATTTCTTTTGTCATTAATGTTACTTCTATACACGTTTTGATTAAAGAAGCAAAAAAATTTTTTTCAAAAAAAAAAAAAATTGCCTACCTACCTACCCTATATTTTTTCAGCCTGAAAGCGGAAACAAACATTTTTTTTTTTATAGGCCGATTTAAATAATCTACTGATGATATCTGGTATTCAGTTAGGACAAAACTCACTCTGTAAAACGTCAAGTTCATGCAAACAAATTCTACATAACAAGTAGGTAGTACTCTGCTTTTATCAGTAAACATTTTGCTGGGTTTATGACAAGTTATAGTTACAGCGGTAGAAGTTTCAAAATGAAAATAATGATTTTTATGAACATTTAGTTCTTTCTGAGAAGAAGTACATGTAGTGCAATTCTTTTCCCTAAATAAATGATTGCAAATAATATTAAAAATTTTAAAAATTGGCAAGGAAAGCAAATCATCTATTAAGTTAGAGAAGTTCTATAATATAATTTTAATCAAATGTCCTATAATTTAATCAAAATTAGATTTATGAGTAAGAGATAATTAAGAATGGTAATTGTTTCTTTATTTTGTAGAAGAACCAGAGGAGACCCCTCCAACAAAAGTTGAAGCCGGGACCAGTCCCTTAGAACAAGAGGAGGAGGCTACTACAACAAAAGCTGAAGTAGGGACCAACCCCCCAGACCAGGAAGAGGAACGTCCTGAGAGAGTTGACACAGGGACTGACCCCCTGGATCAAGAAGAGGAGGGTCCTTCCCAAGCAACCATGGAGGAGCCGGCGAGCAAAACAACGGACCTCAGTCAAAGAGGTTCCCGAAATCTGGCACAGATGGATGGGGAGGAGGTGGATACCAGTAAAATGAAATATGTCGGTTAGTTTATTGGGGTTTATTTGTTTGTCGGCATCCTTTTATTTCCCAAAATATTATTTGCCTTCTCAAAGTATTGTAGAGATAAAAATTATCTGTTGGATTATCTTTTTAAAGCTGTTACAATGTAGAAAGTTAAAAACAGGATTACAGTTTTATTTAAGCATGAACGGAAATGAAGTTTTCACAGTAAACGTTAAAAGGTAAAATTGAGACATGCTGCTCTTCTATCTTAAATCAAACATGTTTGATTTTTATTTCAACAATAGAGGGAGTTCAGTGTGCTAGAGTGGATGTCATGGATACAGGGTTCACAGTGCCAGAGGTCATCATTATGGAAGGTCAAGGTGTTTTGTTTGAAAAGGGAGGCAGAAAGACCCTGGAGATTGTCCAGGTTATAAATATTTCCAAGTTATTTGGTTTACTTTAATTTTTGGTCCTCTGAAGTTTCCCAATAAAGACTTTGCTGTTACTGAATAAGTCTTTGATTGATTTGGTTACTTAGGTGATCCATGATGGTGACAACCTGAGACCTGTGATTGGTGGATTTGGTTCCAAAGATGCCAAGGTCAAGGACAAACAAGACAACTATATTCAGCAATTCAATTTAGAAGGAGAATATAAATTTGCAGTGTAAGTTTGAAGATAAAAGTCATATTGTGATGAAAATTCATCTTAGTGGCATTTTGAGTAGAGTTGAGGGAGTCATTCAGAGTACAACTTAATTTTTATGTTTTCAGACATTCTTTTCTGTTTTAGGTCTAAGATACGCTGTACCCCCCTGACTGTGATTGTAAGACGACGTCTGCCATTGAGGGCGGGCGTGACAGATGACGGTTTTAACCCCCAAATTATTGCCGTTGACCAGGGGGACACAGTTGAGTGGTCGTGGAAGGACTGTACCGTGCCTCACTCTGTACAAGAAGTAAATTATCTGTTTGACAAAGGGGTGTTTGTCAAAACTCAATGGCCTGATGGGGCAAGGTAGGTGTTTTATGTCTAAAAAAGAATCTCTAAAGAATATACAGAATTATTTAAACAGCAAAGTACCAGGTTTGGATTTTTTGCTGTAAAAACTAATATACAGAATTATTTAAACAGCAAAGTACCAGGTTTGGATTTTTTAAAGTTTGCTTTGTTATTAAACTAATTTGTTGGGACTTATTTATAGTACTATGTAAGTTCATGTTATGTTATATTTTTCCAGCAATGTTGTAAGAACAATCACAGGAAACTTCTCCAAAAAATTTCCGTGAGTATGATTTGCATAACTACGATATAATCAATATTAGTTATAGTAATTGATTGCTTATGGTGTATTTGGAATAGGAGAAATAAATGCATTTAAAAAAAATACAAGAAAAAGAAACTGAAAACTTGTGTGCTTTTCTTTTTATCAGGCGTCCAGGAATATATTTTTTCCAGACAGAAAGTTCTGAACTTCACAAGCAACATTTCTGTGTGGTCAGAGTCAGGCAAAGTATCAGGTAATTAAATGTAGAATTACCTATTGAAAAAAATTACTGCATAATCATTTTTTTGTGGTGCCGAATTTTCTTGGTTTTGAGGAAAATAATTTGTGAGCTTTTTCAAACTAAGAAAACAGCAAAAATTGAGTGAACATGGAAATAATTGTTAATATGTACATGTAGTAACAAAAGCACAAGTCACAGAACCTTTTAAGAAATTCAGTTTTAATCTCGTAGATTATGCCATCTAAAACAATGTTCATGATAGTTCTTTAAAATTTCATTGAATTCTTTGTTAATACATTTGATAACCCACCACAGGGAGTATAAGGTGGAGATATCAGACCGAGCCTTCCATCCCCCCGTGTTACTGATAGAGACCGGGGACAGGGTCTGGTGGTACTGGGACAAATTCAAGGTAGATTTTAAATTTTACTAAATACATAAAATAATAAAATTAATTGTAAAAAAAAAATGTTTCTCATTCCGTATTAATCGTAAAAAAAAAATATAAGTAGTCAAAGTTCAGATTTCAAAAAATTTTCATTTTCAATTTGTAAAGAGACCACCAAATCAAAATTTCAGACACAATGTCAATAATTTTTTATTTTTATCAATTTTTTTCGCAGTGCAAGAAACACCACTGTGTATACCAGATAGAGGCACCGACCTTAAACCAGGATGATGAGGAACCGTATCAACCGGTTCAGAACGGCTTCAGGTGGAGTCAACCAAGGTAGGGGAAATACTTAAACTTATTCAGTCAACCAAGGTAGAAAAAATACTGTAAATTTATATAGTCAACCAAGGTAGGGGAAATACTGTAAACTTACTTAGTCAACCAAAGTAGGGGGAAAATACTGTAAACATACTCAATCATCCAAGGTAGGGGAAATACTGTAAACATACTTAGTCATCCAAGGTAGGGGAAATGCTGTAAACATACTTAGTCATCCAAGGTAGGGGAAAATACTGTAAACATACTTAGTCAACCAAGAAAGGGGAAATACTGTAAACATACTAGATCAACCAAGGTTAGGGAAATACTGTAAACATACTTAGTCATCCAAGGTGTGGGAAATACTGTATGCATTTTTAGTCAACCAGGGTAGGAGAAGTACAGTAAATATGCATAATCAACCACTGGTAGGCAGAATATTGTAAACATTCTAAGTCAACCAAGGAAGGGGGAATACTGTTACCATAATTAGTCAACCCAGGAAAATTACTGTAAACATACTTGTTCAAACATTGGAGGGGAAATACTGTAAATGTACTCAGTCAACCAAGGTAGGGGAAATACTGTATATAAACACATAAATCCAAAGGATTATAAGTTTCTTGAAAAAAAAATGCTTGAAAAAAAGAGAGGTGTCTAACATTATATCTCCAGAATGTTGTCATTAATATTGAAGAAATGACTCATCATGCAATATATGTGAGTTAATAAATGAACTGTTTTGAACTATTTACCAGTAAGCAGGGTCTGCTGTCCCACGTGTTTACAGAGCCTGGTGTGTTCTATTACTCTGATCAGAACTTCCAGGAAGCAGCGGAGTACATTGGTACTGTGATCGTCAAACCCAAACCAAAGGAACACAGGGTAATGATCAAAGAAGATGGGTTTGAACCAGGTAAGGCCACAGTAAATTTAAAGTGCAGCTCAATTCAAATAAAAATTAAGGATAGGAACTGTGAAATCACAAATTTTCATGTGGTATAATTTTCGTTGTTTACGTGGCATGAAGAGAACCACAAATTCATATCCCTTATGAAAATTATGAACTGTTTTATAATTCCTTTCTTTTAACCAAGAAATCAAAATCCCATTGAACTAATAATTTTTCCAGAAACCACAAAAATTTGATCCGAAGGTAAAAAGTGATTTTACATTATAAAATCTTCCATCATATTATTTTTTATGCCTTTTAATTTGAACAGATGTTGTAAGAATCAGAACAGGGGAGAGAATCTGGTTTTGGTGGAACCCCATTCTGTTTTCTAAGAAAAATGTCCCTGTTTTACTGAGGGAGGTAGAAAAATGTCTGAATCCAGCAACGAAGCGACCCTCCACTCCAGAGGATGAATGTAAGTCAACAAGATGATCTTAAATACTGTAGAAAAAAGTTCACAAGCTCCAAAGGTTTTAAATATCCAACTATTTATGTTGGCATATTTCGTACTGCAGTCTTTAATGCATAATATAGATCAACATTCTATTTATTGGTATCTTTTTATTTACAGCTAAATACCAGCACCCAGATGAAGAGACTGTTAAACTGATCACAGATGTGGGATTTGCGACAGTATTTTATTCCACAACAGGAGTGTATCAGTACAGGGTACGGAACTCGACGGTGTGTTCGGTGATCGTCAGCCCAGGAGAAAAGGTTAGTGTCGTATAGAGTTTTTTCCCTTATAAAGGGCCAATGCATTATTGCAGCTTTCATTATATGTAAAAAAAAAAATCAATATCTTTAAAAATTGATTAACAAAAATATTCAAGAAAAAAATTTTTGGGGTCATTTAGATACGTCTTTGATTTTTCTTTTATTTTAAGCATAAATATTTTCCTGTTCTTATTCTTAGAATCACACGATTCACCTGACAGACAGTGGACCGGAACAGAAGGTCATCATGTCGGTCCGACCCAATGACCGGGTCTGGTGGGTCTGGCAGAGCACTAAGAAGCAGCACAATGTCATACAGGTGTCCCATCAGGGCGACCCTATCCCCGGGGGGTTCTGCAGTGGCATGCCTCGCGACTCACCCTCAGCATTCGTACATACTTTCGAATTTCCAGGAGTGTTTTACTATAAAAGGTGAGAAAAGATCGCTTTATATGTTAGGTTGTAGGTACAAATGTAATTGTTTTTTTTTTTTAGAATTGCTACTTTTTTGTCAAAAAAAATCATTAAATCTATATAAATTGATGGTAGAACAGTATATAGATTTATACATTTCATCCTCTTAGTTAGAAAGTGTCCACATATGAAATATTCAAATATCGATTTAACAAAAGAAAATTTTACTTTCTGTAGTCAAAGTTTACCAAAGATATTTGGAGCCGTGGTGGTGACTACACAGCCAGTGGTTCACGAGGTGGAGGTGGGGCCCATTATACGTCCTGACCCCATCTCTGTCAAAGTTCACGACATCGTATGCTGGATCTTCAGCAAACCACAGAAAGAGAACGTGCTCGAAATCACCCACCCTGACCAAGTTACACCTGACCTGCAGTGTGAGGAAGTCAGCCCAAGGTCAGATTTCACCATTTCTCTTCTTTCTTCTGTTTCTCTTGCCATTTCTCTAACAATGGGTCTGTCTGAAGTTTTAAGTTGACTCTAATTTGTCTGTCTTGGGTCTACAAAATAAATGTTAATCTATAAAATGGCTTTACAACATTATGGCGAAAACTGTCATGAAATTCATTATAAAGATGTAAAGATTGATTCATTTATTTTTAGGTCTTGTTTGAGCAAAGCTATTGACAAAACAGGAGTGATGCATTTCTACAGCAAATCCTTCAACAAACAAAAGAAAAATATAGAAAATGTAAGTATTACCATTAATTTTGCCAATTACACATAAATTACAGTAATAATTGCATATATTTTTCCATTGGAACATGGGTGAGATCAGTAAAAGTTTAATTTTTGCTTGTTTAGTACCTGGAGGATGTGAGGTTCAGCAGTGTCATCAGTGATGAGCGTTATGACAACACAGTCATCAAAGTGGACAAGGAAGGGTTCCATCCACATTTTGTTTATGTACAGAAGGTAGGGGAAGACTCTATAATAATGTTTAAATGGTGTATGGTTTTGTTTTTGATCAAAATTGACATACAGTAAAAGATTTGTTAAATATAAGTCCTGATAATGTGAAATTCTAGTTCCTTATATATACCAAAGTTCTTTATATCAGCATACAAATTGCTATGATATTAGAGATAGGGAGAAGACATTGCTTCTTTATAACTAAAAAAAATCCTTTTAACAGAGTAAAGTGAATTTTATTGTATGGGAACTGACATTTTAACAGTCAGTAACTGGCTTCAATTTGTCCTTCAAAGTGTTTTAGTCTTTTTAAAGGATAGCTTTCATCAGACAACAATTTCAGCTAAACAGTGAGGATGAAGTACAGTAAAACCCATAAAGTGAAACATGCTTACAATGAATTGTTGCTCACTGTGCAATGTTTTCCGTCCTTGGGGCTTTGAAACATATTGTTATACCCTTATAAATATCCTTCTATATAATTATTGCTAATAAAAAGTCCAACAAAAGAAATGTTTATTACATCAGTCTAACAATTTCACTATTGACCGGTCTTACATAAGAATTGTTAGACCGCAACGTCACTCGTCTGTTACGTCACAATTAATAATCATCGTTCAATATCAGCGACGCGAAAATAGCCGAAGTTAAGAGCTATTAAGAGTTGTTGCTAACAGCAAGGTAAGGTAGAAGGGAAGAGTATGTTTTGTGATAAGTATTTTTTGTGATATAATAGATTTATAATTGATTTTGTTCTTTCTCGCTTGATGTTTTATATATACTGAAGAAGCCATAATTTTCCATATAAAATAATTGATAGTCTAGCATGTTTTGATAAAATTGATCAATCTTAAGTGAGCAGTGAAGGGTATAACAAAACAGTTATAGACTGGGATTCGGGCAACATATGATTTGTTGGACCTGAAGATGAAAATGTTGCCCTTGGCCTCCGGCCTCGGGCAACATTTTCACCTTCAGGTCCAACAAATCATATGTTGCCCTCATACCCAGTCAATAACTGTATATTGTTAACTTAATAGATATAATAAATTACATTTAAATATAACTAAACACAATTTTCTGTTCTTGGGAACGGTCTAAAAAATCAATCTGTTTTACTGTGCACTTGCATGTAGATAAATTATGTAAATTTCAGTTGGGCTTGCAAGTAGATATATTAATTTTTTTTTTTTCAGGGAGAGAGTGTTAGGTGGACTTGGATTAACACAGATGAAGAACACAACATTATCCATGTCACTTCACCAGACAGCAAGGTAATATAAGCCAGAGTTGAATTTTCATTACATTGAATAATTATACTTGATTATTTTTAGTTATTAAATAATAGCAAACTTATGTTTCACGTGTTATTACATAAAAAGTTTTATTTCAGCAAGTTTATGCTGTCAGATTCGATATAAATCTGCATGAAAACAATTTTAGTAGCTAGAATATATTAACCATTGTTTTCATTATCCTTTTAATCAAGGACCGTTTTGGCAGAATGAATCCACAAGTGAGTCTGTCTGTAATAATATATTCCTGGATGTACTATCATATTTCTACCACTACTCTTCCAATAGGAACCTGAACCTGAAATTAAATGTCAAGTAGTATTATCATTCATCAGAGAAGGTTATGGACCTGTTCTTGAAGGGCAAATTTTGTTTTCTTGAGAATGTGTATCTTAACTTAGTAAATTTGAAATTTCCTTTAGACTGATTTATTTAACATTAAACAAAATTTTAGCCTGTGTATTTGTTACATGTATATATCCTTTAAAAGTATCTGTATTTAAATTGTCAAATTATTTCACTTTAAAAAAGATAATTTACTTCAACTTCAACTTCAACTTCAATGGGTTTACTCGCGAAAATCCATATGGACATTTTTCAGCGAGGACTATAATATACATGCGTGCAGTGGAATGTCCAAATGTAAAAAAGGTTACTCCTTAACATGAATATACATTGTACAGGTCACTGTTGGTATATTCAAGTGTGCAGGGTAGGTGTTCAACAAAAGTTGGAGGTTCTGTACAAAATTTATGTGAGTATACGTTTTTGTTCGTGTATTACCCATTTTATACGATATAAATAATTTTTTATCCCAGTTTCCTAAATTATTTTTAAATGATCTAACTAGTGTAGTATGGATATAGTTAATATTTCTGAACTCTTTCACTGTCTTTTTGTACACATACTATTTTGTAAATTTCCAAAGTCTGTCCTAGTACTGATTCAAGAAGGGGTTTACTTCCATTAACAATCATGTACATCTCATCTTTTACCTACCATTTTCTCTTTTTTTCCCAATGAGAGGAATTATGAGTTATGGTACTTTTCCTTAATACTAGTGGGACTTATCAGAGGCAAAACTTAGAAAATCAATTCAGCACTTCATCAATTGACTTTAGGAGTTTAAATCATTAATTTTCATGTTTTTATGTCAAACAATGGACACTGTTTTCGAACTACAGCAAATATTTCAAATTCATCTACAGCATTTATGGTGCCTTTCCAGGATTATTTGTATATTTCATTAACTGATGATTTTTGGCCAACAGGAACCCCTAAATGTAGTTGGTGGTGTAAAATCATTTAACAGTGGCAAGCAGGTAAAAAACAACAGCTTCCTCTACACATTTGACGAGCTCGGAAGTTTCACCGTGGCTTCCCAGGGTGCACCTGGATATTCCTGTACGGTTCACGTCATAACATCAGGTAAAAAATTGATTTGAAAATTATTTTTAATTTCTTTCATATTGTCTCAATAGGTTCCAATCAAGGAAAAAATTGTCACTGGAATCCGAGGTTTTCGTAGTGGCGTGTTGGAGAAAAATCGAGAGTTTTTACACACATTTGATAGGATCGGACAGTACTTTATTATGTCTGAGGGGGCCCCTGATGAAATCTGTACTGTTTTTGTAGTTGATGGTAAGAGAGGTGTGGAATTTTGCATACTCAGGAGCTTTTAATGGCTAACATGCATCTATAGAGTAATGCCAAAGTGCTGGAACATTGCCATAAAGGAAATAGGCAGTGTGGTGTGCTTTTAATTTGCAGTTTTTATGGAAATTAAAGTTAAAAAATATGTGGAACTTGTTTTATTAGCATGCATGGTAACTTTTAATATATATATTTAAGAGTGTCTGATATTGGTGCATTGAATTAACTGATGGCAGAGTGTAATAATGTTTGAAGTGGGTTTTTATGTTATTTATGAAAATATTTAAAGCGAAAGGATTAAGTCTAGAAGTTGCTTACTTTGTTCTGCATGTTCTATAGGATAGTAGAAATTTTAGGGCAATGTATGTGTCAAAGCTTATGAAAAATGTAATTTGTAAAAGCTCCTTCCAATAAAGTAAAATTTCTCTAAATTTTGTAACATTCAAATGGCATGTGCTATCTGAACTTTTGCCATAGGATGTGAAAAAAAAAATATAAGCTTCTCTGAAACTGTTGGACTACTTAGATAAATGTTTTTGCCATGAACATGATAAATGGAGGGGCAAAAATATGGTAAAAAATACGCATTTTGATAATAGAAAAATATAATAAATAAAATTAATTCACTGTTGTACACAGTGGGTAAACTGTTTTCCAGAAAAGTAACTTAAAAGAAATATTTTAAAAAAAAATTTGTCTTGGTCATTTTTTTTATAAAAACTAAATCAGAAAAGATATGATTTGCATATTTTAAAAACAATTAATTTCTTGAAATTTCGGTGTTCTTTAACTGCATTTTTTGCCTTCCCAGATGAATGGGTCCTGTCGGGGTATCATTTTGAATTCCTGTTAACACTTTAAGTGTTTTGTGGGGGTATGGTGTATTATTCCCATTGGGTCAGCTGTAGTTTGGAAAAGACAAAGAAATTATAATACATGTATCCATTGCCATATATCATAGTAAATAGAAGACTGATATAATTTGTGTGCTGCATTAAATCTTTTTCACCCTTTTCAGCTGATCATGTAAAGGAGCCCTCCATAGCTCCAAACTCCTTGAATGGAGGCACTGTCGATCAATTCAGCAAAATAGAACTGACCTGTGAAACACTCGGATCCAAAATTTTCTACACCACTGATGGATCCCCACCTGAACTTCACATTGAATCGGCAAAGGTAAGAAATGCTTAAATTTCTTATCAGCCAATCAATATGGAGGTCAAAGATTAATGGTTAAAAAGTCATTTTTAAATTAATTGTTATCATTTGCAAAATATTGATTTTTAAATCGATCATGATATAGATTTTCTAACAAGGGAAATTTAAGTGATAGGTGATATATTATACAGCAATCAATGACTAAAGAACTCTCCAGGAAAGAAGATAGATTTGCTTAGCAATGGCAGACATGAAGATTTGTCCTTAAGATTTATAATCCATACAAATCTAGGCCCTGAAAGATAAAATTTCCAATGTTTTCTGTTGCATAAAATCTTGTGTGTTTTTTCTCTAGCTATACAACCCAGAGAAAGGTGTCATTCTAAAGAAACATGGTCTGTGTTTTATAAGAGCTATGGCAGTAAAGGAAGGACTTCTCAATAGCTCCATTTTTACCTCAAAGTAAGTAACCTGGGCTTAGGCAAAGCATGTATTTTTTATTTTTAACTATACTGCTCAGTTTAACAATGGGATCCAAAATGTCGATATTTTGAATACCATTTACCTTTCGTTTACTGGCCATTTACCTTTCATTTACTGGACAGGTAACTTTCACAAGTGTACCATTTTGTTATATTTATTGTAGGCGATACTGGGTTTTGGCCAAAGAGGGCACAATGGAGGAAAGTTCCTCAGAAACGGAGACGTCTACCGACCAGAAGGAGGAGAAGAGACAGACTCCACAGGTAAAACAATGATTTGTGTATAATCATGGGTGGTAATCCCAAGCTTTTTATAAAGAAGAAAAAACAATATTTGATTTATGCCAGTTTTTGTTATACTGTATAATAGACACAGAACGATCAATTTCAGATTCCCCATAGTTCTGCAATACACACATCAATGTTTTTTTCTTCTTATTAACTTTTCGGTTTCAGTTTAATTGAAACGGAAAAGTTAAGTATAAAGTTTAGAATATAGGAGGAAAAGTTACTTACCGTATATACTCGCCTGTAAGTCGGTCTGCCTAAAATGAAAAGTTATATTTCAGATGCATATAATACCATTATTTTTATAGCTCGCCTATAAGTCGGACACAGAGTTTAGGACCAGTTATCAACTCCAAAAAAAACGACTTATAGGCGAGTATATACGGTAAACTAAAGATAACATAAAAAAACATCAAAAAGTTTTGATGGTTCTCTCCCCTTTATTTTCAATAGAAAAATGATAACTGGGACTGGTGGAGTTGTGCCCCAACCATTAAGGCCTGCTTTACTGACCCCGGGGTCATGGAGGTGTTCTGGGAGGAACCAAATGCTGTCCAGAAGAAACTCATCAAAGGTTACCAGGTAAAATGGCCATTCTTTGTTTTTATTTCATTTTAATGTATTTCAGATGAAGTTTTACATAGTTTAACTAGTTTGGAGGACATTTTTAATTAGTTATATTGTACACTTTTCTTTTGACCAGCTTTGCAAGTACATGCATTCAAATTAATTTCCTTCTTCCTCTGAAATTAACTGTACCACAAAAATTTTATAAAGATGCTAATGATTTCATTATCTTTAAAAAATTCACAAATATAATTAAGATTTTGAAAAAATTGAGATTTAATTGAGATTGTTATTTGTGTTTTTGATCAGATTTTCCTGAATGGTGTGAGGTACTGTGAAATGTTCCCGCCCAATAACAATAGCCTTAACATCACTGGACTGGCAGGAAATCGGATCTACGAAGTTTACGTAGAGGTCTATTCCTTGGACAAAAAACTCAACCCTCAGACCTCAAACAAACTGGTGAGTTGTTAGTTTGTCAAAAATTCAGCTACTCAAAGTCTTAAACTACCACAAACTTCTAAATTACACCATGAAGGGATATAAAAATTGAAACGCAGGCTAAGTTTATTGATAGTTGTTGAAATATGACTTTGACATACTGTTTATCAATGAATATATCCATACAAAGCCCAGGTAATATTCAGTTTACTTAGCATACTTTCATGACCTCTGCCCCTTCTATGAATTCTGTAAGTGTAAAATCTAACTTGAATATTGATATTGTGTCATTTCTATTTTATAATACCAGACAATGAAGGTGCCTCTTATGACAAAGGAGGGAGGACCAGTGATCTCCCTTGAGCGGGCTAACAAGCAGGATGCCCTGGTGGTGGTGTGGATGTCTATAGACACCACCGAGTACCCCATCAAGGGCTACCTCGTCTTCCTCAATGACCAGCAGTGTGGCGCCATGGTCAGTCTCACTTATTTACTTTTTTTTTTTGAAATCTGTATAGAATGAAGTGAAGGAAATTTTAGTCAGAGACAGAAACATGTGTTGATGCTGATGATTTTTGTTTGGTTTGAATTGGTTGCCTTAGACTACTATTGCAGCCATGTTAAAAGAGAGGGAGAAATAGAATGAGGTGTTGAATTGGATATTTGTTAGAATATAAGTGTATTTGGTTACATCAAAGTTCATGGTAGGGGTCCAGTTTTTCTCAAAATAATGTTTATGTTAATTCTAAATTTTTATGAATTCAGTAGGAATATCAAGATCCAATCACTTTCTGATCATTTATATTTTCATTTCATGATTATACTTCCTTGCTATAAGTTGGTCTTTTTTTCAAGTTTAACTTATAATAAGTCTGGAGGTTTAAAGAATTAGATAATTTGATTGAAAGGATTTAAATGCACCCAACTGTTTTTCGAAAAGAATGCGTTATATGTATCATTTTCAATTAACAAATCTGCATACCCCCTTTCTTTAAAGGGGGGTATTTTCAGAGAATTTTTTTAATGTTAGAAATAAAACTGAAAGCTAACTTTTCTACATATACAAGCATGAAGTTAATAACCAACAGGTACATCAGAAAATTTTTGAACAGGTTGAGGAAAGATTTAAATAAGTACAACATTATACATGTCATTGAAATATTTAAATCCCTTGACATGGTTTAGTGAATAATCCATTTGGATCTTGAATAGCCTTTACATTTGATTAGAGGCTGATATTATTAGCTACATGACTTTAAATGTCTGGTGTATGTTGTTTAATCTGACCTGTGGTTACTACACAGAGAGAGGTATACATGTAATAAGTACATTTTATTGTACAGTTCATCAGAGTTTGGAAAAAAAACTTCTTTTGTGAATGTAAATGAAGGTCTATTAATGTCTTTGGATTTTGCTTGGATAAGAACATCTCTGATTTCAGGTAAAATTTTGATTTAGGGGCTGCAGACTCAGTTCTCCTGACAATTAAGACCCATCTTTAGATTCATTGATGATATATTTATATATATTACATGTAATTGTAAATTTTTATGAATTCAGTAGCAATGTCTGTCGTCTGTCCACTTTCTGATGCAATTAATATTTTTATTACAGAGGGACATTATACATTAGAATCTACTACTCCACAATAAGATTGCTCATAACCTAAGGGTGTGTCATGACCTTGACCCAAGGTCATTTGGGGAAGTTCAAGGTCACTGGAAGAAAAATTTCATAATTCGTACATCCAGTCCATATCTTTATTATGGATAAACTATATAACATTCTCATTTCACACAAAGATTGCCCATGACCCAAGGGTGTGTCATGACCTTGACCCAAGGTCATTTGGGGAAGTTCAAGGTCATGAGAAAAATTTCAAAATTCATGTTTGACATATATATTATGGATAAACCAGCAGGTATTTCATCAAAGATTGCCCATGACCCAAGTGTGTCATGAAAGATTGACCCAAGGTCATTTGGGGAACATTATACAGGTCATTGAAATATTTAAATCCCTTGACATGGTTTAGTGAATAATCCATTATGGATAAACTTGGTAGGGCCTTTCACATAAAGATTGCCCATGACCCAAGGGTGTGTCATGACCTTGACCCAAGGTCATTTAAATGTTCAAGGTCACTGGTAGAAAAATTTAATAACTGACCTGTGGTTATCTTACAAAGAGAGAGGTAGGTTTTCATTTCACACAAAGACATTTTGGGTGTGTCATGTTCAAGGTCATTTGGGGAAGTTCAAGGTCACTGGAAGAAAAATTTCTAATTTGTGAATGTAAATGAAGGTCTTATTGATAAACTTGGTAGGTTTTATTTTATAAAAGATTGCCTGATGACCCAAGGGTGTGTTTGATTTGACCCAAGGTCATTTGGGAAGTTCAAGTTCACTGGAAGAAAAATTTTATAAGATTCATTGCAAAAACTTATGATATATTCTAGTTACATTTATTCTCTGCATACTCATTTAAAAATGTAGCATTAAGTTTTAAAAATAGATATATTGAATAAGTAGCACCCCTTATATTTGAGCATTAATTTTTTAATTATACATTTGTATTTAGTTGGTGTGCACATGTTAAGCTTTCTTACTGCAGGAAAAACTATCTGATCAATAAAAATTGACTTAATATATTATATATTTTCAACTTTGATTGTTTAAACAGCTTACTGTTAATTATATGTATTAAAATTGCCAAAAAAAAAAAAAAAAAAAAAAAAAAAACACATTAAATTTTAATACTCATTATTAAAAAAAATGGACCTTGTTAAAAAAATTATTGAAAAAAAATAATATATCCTTATAAGATAAGCTTTGAGTTAAATTATTGAAATTGTTGGGGAAAAAAGAATGAGCAGGTATCTATTTATTGAGATGATATATTTCTCCCCTATGTATTGTATCAAACATGTAGAACAAAGCTGGCAGGCTAATATATAGCCCCTCAGTCACCTGGTTATTTATACTTCCACCAAACAATTGATTTAAATATTTTGCAGAATACTCAGACACCATTTAATATATGTTTGAAAAAGATTTTTACAAAGAATTTGTTTATTTTCACATACCCAATATTTAAACAGTGTTTCAAGCTTCCAAAAGCCTTTATTGATCATAGGAACAGCTTCCCATTATTCAAAGTCTGTTTTAAATTTCTTTCTTCTAAAACAAGCTCAATATATTTTTTAAATATCACTCTCTGGAGAGGAAATTAATTATTGGCCAGTAATTAGGTATTCCCAACACCTCAGGTGTGCATTTATTTGTTTTATTTATTGTTACAGCAGAAAGAAGAACTTGCTCAATTATTCATGATGACATTATCAACTTTCATCCGTGATCTTTAGTACTCTTGACTCTATTGGGGTTTCCTATAGCAACCTTGTTATATTTTGTAGCTTGTGCCTGATCCAGACAAGAACCGATGTAAGGTTTTCATTGGTGGATGTGAACTGAATAAGGAACACAAGATCTATGTTGTTGCTCTCCCAAAAGGTAGGTGTCAATAAATGATGTGGACTTAATTTTAAGTGTTTGCTTTGCAGGGATTGATTTTTATATTCACACTCTAGTCCATTCTTGTGATTAGATTTTTTTTTTTTAACATACATCTTTGTGTTTCATATTTGACAAATACAATAGAGAGACCAAGAAAAATACTTATAGGGATTAAAAGACTAATTGGAAACACTTACTTTAACTACAGTGGTTAGATGCATTATTATCGTGAGGTGTCAAAGAATACAATTAGATCTATCCACAATTTCAAACTGTATTTCAACATCTATGATTGATTTCTTTAATAAATTGACAACAAATATACATCACCCACTAGCTGTGGTGTATATGCTAAATTCACTGTAGTATTTTAGTTGGTGCTATATAGTTTTGTTTTTTTGTGACAATCTAATTTTGTCATTGATATATTTGTCAGATGGTACAAATGGTGAGTTTTAATTGAACACAGCTGAGCTTCTTGTCTAGTTTCTGAGTTCTGTCTTTTCATATTTGCTTCAGTGGCTAAATACCAAGCCTAGAAAACAGGACCCTGTTCAATTGATAAATTAAAATTGTATTTTTATAGGGTTGACTTTCTTCATTTATTTCTCAAACCTTATTCCTTTATCACATCATGTCTGTAGTATGTAAGCACATGCAGTTAAAAACTTTTAGTTAAGTTAAGTCAGTGAAGTGGTGCTTAAGGTGAAAAAAAGTTCAATTGATAGCTATTTAATTATTGTACAATGTGCATAAATGTATTTATTTACTTTATGTACATTTATTTACTTTTAGAGGAAAGTATTTAGATGAAGATTTAATAACCTGCACTAGTGACTCTTAGAGGAAACAAACTGCCATTTTCAGCATCCACATTTTTAAATGCATTAGATGTACATGTATACATGTATATATTAAGTACTATGTACTATTCAGCATCTAGTTGCTTTTTTAGAATCTCTTTCAAGAATCATTTTTAGTATGCTATCTTTATGGAAAAGGATTAATGGCATTTATTTTGGCAGGTTTTTTTTTTCAACTTGGCACTAGAAGATGCCTGTTAGATTAGATTTAATTAACTTTTTTTCAGAATGTAGATATTGACAAATATATACTTAAATTAAGTACTTTGAAGTCTTAATTGGTATCAGGGCTGCATGATGTACGTTACTTATGCTTGAGATATACTAAAGAGTTTATGAAAAGAACATAAATATCCAACAACTAGTTCATCTCGAGTTATGAATATTACAACTGAAATGTTAAAAAAAAAAAAAGTCAAAGTTTTTCTTCTGTAACTCTTTCCATTATTTGTTTGTCAGACAATGTGGAGGATGGGCGTATGTCCAACGTGATTGAGGTGGTCCTCCCGCTCGATACGTCACAGATCGTCCTCCCAGACGAAGACGAGAGACTAGACCAGGAGGAACTCTACCAGGAGTACATCTCCATACAGGAAGGAAGTGGTTATCTGGCGGCCATGGATGGTAGGAACTTCCTGTTAATTAACCTTTGACCTAGCCATAGATGTTGTTTGGTGGTGTTTTGTGTTTTCATTTTTGCTGTTTTGATTTATTTGTAGTGTTGATTTTGGAGCTTTTTTTGTAGTGATGTATTGTAGACAGCCATTGATTCAGTTAAAGACTTAATTAATAGATTTTTTTAAACTAGAAATGATATGTGTTTAAGATATAAATATTCAGAGATAGTTTTTTTTTTTTTTGCATTTGTTTCATTTATATAGACCATGCACTTTTTTGTTAATATGATTTCATTCTCTAGTTATCCATTGGCAAGTGTTTCCTCAAATATATGTCTGCATGATCACCAGCTCAAACTTATTCTTTGAGTTCAAAATTTAAATACCATAAAATTAAAAGAAAAACTGAAAAAGTTCTTTTGAAAACTCTCAGTCCTTTAATTTTAAATCTGTAATAATCTAAACATCAATGAATAATATATATGTTCGAGTCAGAAGAAAATTCTGTTAACAAATATGTCTGCTTCCTTAATGCTCACTTTTATTTACCCTGTTAATATGCTGTTAAATGTTTCATTCTGATGATTACGCCCATATATTGAGGACACCCTTAAATACATTTATTTGATGTTGTGTGTTTGACATGCTTTATGTATTTTTTTTTTTTTGCTTGAGCTTTTGGTATTCCACCTCATTTCTTCAGCAAAGCGTCATCACATTGAAACTAACAACATACCACCTCTCACCACCAGCTACCAGTATACCAGTAAAAAACCAGCATCTGGTAAATATGTCAGGTTAAAAATTAAAAGTCACTGTCAGTTCTGGCGGTCTTGTCAATCATTTACCTTTCTGGAGAAAGTTGAAATAAACTGATTAATTGTCATCATGAAAAAATCTAAATTTCAAAAGTCATATTTTCTGTAAATCAATGTTGAATGCGTAATTTTTATGTCATTTCTACCGGGATTCTTTGTGATTAAGTCGAAGCCTATAATCAGCTTTATTATGGAGAATTTTGTATCCAAAAATGACTCTCATAAGAAAAGATTCCTGATGAAGTAGAATAATTGATTTGATGCTTAGATTGATCATGTTCTCAAAGTTGTCCAATCCATTGTCCTACCCATTGTGAATTTACCCCAATTCAGAGAATTCATCAATAATTTGACCATGCAAGTAATATTACACATTGTACACTCAACACAGAAAATGAATGCTATTGGTCTCATCAAATGTGAATAGAATGCCTAGTGTGTAGACTTGTCATAAACATGTTAATGTAATTGTGGAAGCACAATGTCATTTTATGTAGTCAATTTGTCAGTAACTTTTGTAACATTTACTTGGAATTTCCCTTATTCATTGCAAACTGATAAATTTGATTAGTGTAAAATAGCCATAGTTGATTTGCCCTGATTAACATAAGTTAAAACTTCTTGTAAGTGAAAGCTAGCATTTATGAGATGACAAAGTTTTTTTTTTCTGTTTCAGACAAAAGATCAGGTGCCCCTGCTGTGGTAGAAGTTGAAGATCCAAGATACAGAGGTAAAAAGCAGTTAAATTATCAAACATCTTCTCTGAAACTATGGCATCTTTCATTATGCATCTGAAAATACCGTTCTTTTTTCAAAACTTTATCAAAGTAATGCTAAATCTTCTATATTTTCAATCTTTCTTGATCTTCATTCATGCATCTTTAATTCATGGAACATTAAAAAAACTAATAGGAGTGAAACCACTGAAAAAGAAAACAGCTTTGCAATCAAAGACTCCAGACTTAACTTCCTCAAATGCATCCCACAATGCATCACATCCAATGTCTGCCTCTGATCCATATCAGAATTTATCCACTCTTCCGGATGGCTTGATTCCACATGGATATGCCACTCCAGCTCTGGAACAATCCAGGCCCCAGTCTCTTGTTCCATCACTGGCTGACAGAATCTCTGATCGCCAACGGCAAAGAAGCATTGAACTTGTAAATGAAGTTTTGAATTCTCAAGTGAATAGTCAAGCCAACAGTGAATATTTTGGTGGAGACCCATACTCTAGGAACATAAGCAGACGATCTTCCCAAAAGAGCTTTTTCCAACAGCAGGTTAACGCTCCCAGTGTAGCTGAACAGTATTTAGAGATGAACCCCATGATACAAAGAAGGCTATCTCTTAGTTCTCACAGACAGGGATTGGACCAGCATGTTATGCCACCACCTTCCCAATCAATGCATCAAATGGCTGTTCTACAAGCCCCACCACAACTTAATGTAGAGGAACCTCAGATGCGTCACCACATTTCTTTGAGATCAGCAGGAACTATTGCAAAACTGGGTTCTCCTCAGCCTCAGCCTGTGAATCTCCAACTGCAGAAGCACAAGTACCCAATAACATTCAAAATGGTGGCAAAAGCTGTGAAAAATTTCATCACTCAGCAGAATATTGTCATGACAGCTATAGCTCCAGGAAGGGTGAAGAAAAGGTTCAGATTTGACTGGCCAAGGTTCAGAACCTGGATCAACGTAACCAAGCCATTTGAGAAGGAGAAAGATGCAGGAGTGATGTATCAGCTTCAGGCACCAACACCATCCAATGCACCCCATGAAAATGAGAGAGCAACTTCAGAATTTGCCTTCAATCAACAACAAGCTGATCGAGAAAGACAACTCAACTTTATGAGACAACAGCTTGACCCAGATCTTTATCCTGAACATACTGGTGGGCAATACAGAGCACAAATGCAGGAATATTATTCTCATGAACCTCCAAGAAGCTTCAGAAGTTCAAGGTATGGGAATTACTTAGATGTAGGTAGACAAACAAGGTCTGCCTATCATGAAAGATCCTTTGATCATGCCAGCCCTGACAATAGTAGAAGGAGTCCAAGGTTTGAGTTTTATGGACCAGAGGAAAGGCACTCCCCTTATAGGAGAGAAAGTAGGTCAAGGTCACATTCCCATTCTCATGAGAGGAGGCAGGAAATGGGGCCCCATGATGACTGGTTTGAGTATCAAGGCAGAGGAAGGCCTGACCCACAGAGAAGTGCCAGAGACTATGACAGTGGATTTGAAAGAAATTCTCATGAAGAGAGACACTCCAGGGACCATGGATTCTATGAGAGTGAGTCAGACTATGATGAAGAGTATGAGGATTACAATGTCTCTTCTGATCAGTATGAGAGTCCTCCATACTATGCACAGGAGAGCAGAAGATACAGGGAACAGCCAAATCATAGAAGAGGTGGCCCTGGGGGTCCTCCACCAAGACACAGCAGACGCCTACCAAGATCTGGGAAAGACAATGTAAGAAGTCCCAGGAAAAGAAGTCCAGAGGATAAACAGAAGGAAAAAATAAAATCAAGAGGTTTTGAAACAGATTTTGGGATCTATGGTGGACCAGGATCCAAGCCCCCACCATTAACTCTGAAGGAGTACAATGAGACACAAAGGAAGCCCAAGAGAAAGAAGAGGAAGAGACCAAAGAGGCACTCAGCTCTGTATAACATGTTGGACCAGGATGAAGAGTATCCCTCAGAACTCCCCCCAGCTCTCAGAACTCTGGCCACCTACGGGAAGATGTTTCATGGACAGCTGCTGCAGGATGCCATTCAGATGGACCATGAAGGTAGAGGAAGATGTCTGCATGGATGACAAATTCACACTGATGAGAATGAATCACTGTAGAGCAGAATTAGGCACTCCTTTTGCAGAGAGTTATACTGCATGACCACTGACAATGCTACATGATCACATTTATAAGAATGGCTATTCACTTAATTGATTTTCATGATTTTTGAATTTGTCCTAGCCAAAAATTCCTTTTTGTTTGGAATGAGTATCATTACTATGCATAATTACCTTTAATATTGCAGCTGGCTTCTTTTCTTTTTTGACATTTTGATACGATGCTTGTATATTGTTTTCTTTAGTCTACCAAATTCAAAACATTTTGTTTATGTAAAGTCATCAGATCAATTTTTTTTAAATTCAGTTAATATTTCAGATTAATTTTGTAATTGCTAATAGATTTCTTTTAGCATTGTTTTTACTCTTCACCCAATAATTTGAATATCATTTGAAAATCTACATATTCTCTGATTTTGAATTTGATTTCAGAATACTCGGATGGTAAGTTAGGGAACCAGTTTCGATTGTGACTGTCACAGAACCAGTTTACTAACATTTTTTTCCTCGCTCTCGTGTTGGATTTCATGTTGGTGTTCTCCTCATGGTGTAAAGACATAAAAAAAGATCATCAATTAGCTTAAAAAAAAAAAAATTAAAAAAGACACTGGCTTGAGGTCTTCATCTCTAAATTTTGACGAAAATGCACATTCTTTGTTGGGACAGTGAATTTTTATCAGGCTTCACTGACTGTAATTGAATTCACATTAACCTAGAACTTAACTTTGCCATGATTACAAAAATCCATTCATCCTTCAAATAATTCTTCAATTTTTGTACCTATATCCTGGAGATTTTGCCAAATATTCCAATCTACATTTTCCAATATGTATATACATGTATATATGTATATATACATGCATACACTATATTCTTAAACAATATATTTCCATATTAGACTGATATAAGCAACAGACACATTAATAATTTATTTTTTCATGAAATATTCCTGCTTGATTAATTGTCCTCCTTATTTACAAAGACCATACCCTATAAAACTCACCTTTCACATCCTTTTGATGTTTTAAAATGTTTATATCTTTAAAAGAACACTTGTAGAAGTTTTGAATTTTTCACAATTTGATTTTCATAATGCTTGTATATGTCGAACGTTGTTTTTTGACATTTGTCACAAGTTTAAAAACTTTGGATACAATACAGAGGTCTTGATTTTTCAAGTTGTCATGAACTGATATTTTGATAATTAAATTTATTCATCTTGAAGTATGATCTTCATAAAAAGTTTTTATTTCTTCTAATGTATTTAATTCTCTTGCAGATCAGAGCATGATGACGGATGATAACTATGAGAAAGGAACACAAACACCAAGAGGAAAATCTCGAGTGAAAAATCTCAGAGACAGCTATGGCTCAGGTGATTTCTCAGAGGAGCGAGCTCAATCTCGACGAGCACAGATATCTGACTCAGAGAGTGAGACTGAGTCTGAGACAGGCTCATCAGAAACCGAAAGTGAAACTGAAAGTGAAACCGCCTCAGAAGGGACAAGGTTATCTAATGATGGAAGTGTTATGGTGGTCAGCATGAAAGATGCAAAGTACGCGCCAAAGGTCACGAGAGAGGTCGTGCAGCAGAGCAGACCCAGGAGCAGCTACATCATGAGAGATGATAAAACTGACACCGGGACACAGTCGGACATCACCCCCAGACCTCCTTCTGCCAGGCGGTATCGAGATACACACAGCGCTCGCTCAGATCTGAGTACACCAAGGTTAGCTCGGCGGGCACTCATTGAAGTAGAAGAGACAGCGTCTGTGGATTTGAATGAAGACCACATGATGAAGAGTGTTGTTGTGTCCAAGGAAAGAGGAAGCAGGCGCCGCCAAGTGGAGGAAGGGGAGGTAAATGATGAAAATTGAAAATTTACACTGATGTAAATTTTTTCCTTTGAAGTAAAGCTAATGCATGGAAATTTTAGCTTAGTATTAGAAATATGATATTGGTATGTTTAAAGGAAACTGAAATGTTTGAATTAAATCTTTAAAAAAAAAACTTTGTTATTTGCAGCCTGTATATAACCCTGCCAATGATGCACAAGTGGGCGTACCTGCTCCAACTATCAAGGTATCCAGTATGGGCAAATCTGGGCTGATTGTGGAATGGTACATTGACAATCGTATGGACTCGCAGTATGAAGTCCAGCAGTATATAATCAACATTGTGGGCCGAGACTTCAGTGCTAAGGATATCAACAGTCATATCAGGTTCTGAACTCGCTTTTACCAAATTTCAGATAGAACTGTGAATTTTTTTTTTTTAAGTAGGTACATGTTTTATGATACCGGTAAATAAGGATTTTAAGTTAATGTTGTAAATTTTCCTTTTCAGTTTTGAGTGTAACCTTGTGGATAACAGAGGTCACAGTGTCAGAGGGACGCAGCATTGCTGGACTGTGGACGGAAACAAACGTAAAATCAACATCCGGGGTCTGTACCCGGACAACACATACAGGTAGGGGCTGAAGATTAAAGCTAAATATACATGTATAGCATTTATATAACCTCAAGACAACTAAAAGTGCTGTGTTGTCTGCAGTTTTTATTTAAATATATATATAATTATTGACATATTTGTTCAGGGTGTTTGTGGTGGCCAATTATGGTTTCCGTGATGATGAGGAGGAACAGAAGCCTATAGAAGTCCAGGCCACATCTCCTGTGATTTACTACACAACAATAGGGCCCCCTCTCCCTCCATTTGTTAGGGTTCTTAATGTCGGGCTGTATCAGGTACAGGCTGCAATCCATGATTGTATAGATATAAGTCACAAAATGTGATCACTGTATATCTTGTGATAGAAAATCATGTAAAGACGTAAAGTAATTTTGTGCAGCTATTTGATAATGAAATGTGTTCACTGTATATGATTGCGCCCATGACAAAAGGGTCCTTATGGCATATTTGCTAAAACAGAGAAATAACGTCATAAAGATGTGAAGTTGTGTGATATTTTTATTTTTTTTTGACGTTTGACACATCCAGAGTTTTTATCGCTGTTTCAAACATGTAGAATTTATTTTCATTTATAAATTAATTTAATCAATATCTGAATCTCCTAATCCACTGATTTTAGATATAAATAAAAACATTTAGAACTGGTTTCTTAACAAACATAATTAAATACGTCTCTATAATACCAATAGTTTTCCTACATGCGTAATTAAATGTATAGAAGCTGTAGACAAGGTGTTTTCTGATTGCATATTGAATCTTTATACTCTATATAAATTTTATTTACATATTTATACCATTTTTAGAATATATTTTAGACAGGGTATATCGTAAAAAATATTGCAAAGGAAAATTGTCTTCCTACTTCTTTGAGATCCGCTCCAGCACTCTCAAATATACATCGCGATCGCGTCGATCACATCATGCACATGTAAACATTGATTCATCGGTACATACGGCTTAAACTGTTGTTAAATTGTTTGTACAAATGTTGAAACTAAACATACATCTTCACCGTTTTTTACAAATCTAGCAAGAATGTGTAAAAACGATAGTCAAGATTATGTCTATTTTCTATAAATAAAAATAGGAGAGATAACCCTGATGTCAACAATCGATGTAACAGGGGTACCAGACAGGGACATTCATTATTTTAATTGCGTACTTTTTCACATTTCAGCTGCATGTTCGCATGAAGGATTATAAAAGAGATATTTTATGACCAAATAAAAAAACTTGTAATCGTCATCATAATTATGAATTTTTAAATAAAGGTATATTGTTGTACTTTGGGAATAAGATTAATGTAGAAAAAGGAAAAACAAAGAAGAAGAAGAAGAAAAAAAAGGAAAACTGCAAAATTGAACAGACTTTTATTTTTTTTTTTCAAATCTCTAATATCTATAGTTTTTTTTTGCATGAAATAATTTCATGACGAATTTTATTTTTTAAAAAATAATAAACATGTAAAGCGTCTACCTTATAATCATGATTAAATAAATTAAACTTTAAAAATGTTGTTTTGTCTTATATTCTTGTTGCAGAAAGACATTTCAATGTAGAGAAATTAAAACAAGCAAAAACATCCAAATGAATTTTTATAGCTATTTATTTTCAAGATCTCCAAGTTTAATATACATGTAACTCTTTGGTAATTAGGTTTTTTTTTCATACGGAGTTCAAATGTTTTAAGCATTATCTGCAAATTAATTCTTTTAGCCATGCCGAACTTTGTCTTTCATAAAAGCTCGATCAGCATTGAATGTCTCTTAACAGATCAATTATCATGCTAAAAACTCAATCATCACTGAACTTATAATCTCATTGCAGTTATCAGTGTGGAATAATATATTTTTTAACCTGCCATCAAAATATAGATAAATATTATCAAATATGATCAAAAATTATTTATTTGTTTTGGTTGATAAAAAAATCTTTATAAGTTCAGGGTCGGGTTTTATTTTTATACATGTACATGTAAAGGCTAACAGAAAATAAATTTCAATGCTGAAAATACATGACATAAAACCGCAACAATATGCTTGCATTTTGTTTTATTTTGGCTGCAGTGCAGGGGATGGGGTGGGGGTGTCCTTATATATTTCCATAACATTTAGGCTTTACAAGGCTTAGCATATCCAAGCACCAGGCACGTAGCATCGTTTTTGAAAGTTGGGGGGGGGGAGGGCAGCCAGAGAATTTTTTTTACTTCCCTGAAAAAGTTGACAAACAAAAATAAAAGGTTAAAGTTGCACAAAGTCGAAAATCCTATTTTGGGGGGGGGGGGGGGAGGTGGGGGCTAGAGGCCAACTTTTTTCAGTACCAATCGTTATACTACATTTTCCGTACACCACTAATAGTGGGGGGGGGCAAACCAGACTTTCAATTATCAATTCCTATAGTATAAGTATAAGGTTGGGGAAAAAAATGAAGGACCAGGCTCCCCTCCCCCCTGGGCACGGGACCAGAATGGAATTCATACTTTTTAAAACTCACTTTATAGAATAAAATTAGAAAACAACATTAGAAAGAAAGGGATTCTTTTTAATTAGGTCATAAATAATATCATCATTTTCTAAGATGTCTACATCCCTAAAAAAATCTGACATTTCAAAGTTCAGCCAGTTCACAGACAATTGCCAGGAAACATATTATACAAAACAGTCATATTCAACTGACTGTATATTTAGGCATAAACAATTACATGTTATTAATCTTAAGCTCACCCCTACCCCAACAAAAGCTATACATATAAACCGTAAATGGCATCTCAAATTTAATTCTATGGGTGTGCTTCTAAAACCATCTATTTCATAAAATAAAACCAGATTTTTTTAATTTTAGGGTATCATTATATGCATGATTAACAATACTGAATTCATAGAAATTTAGTTCCAGGCTAATAGTGTTTATGATAGCTGTGCGATTTTAAAAATGGCAATGGTCAGAATTAAAGGTATAAATATAAAATTAAGGTATTAGGCAGCATTTTTTCAAACCTAAATAAAAAAAAGTGAATCTGCAAGTTGTAGGGTTAATGGTACTGGGTGCACCTAAAACTTTTGAAGTAAAAAAAATATTTTTTAAATTCATTTTAACTCGTGTTCACAAGAAGTGTAAGTTTTTGCCATTTAGATTTTTTACCCCCCCCCTCTTCACCAACATACACATAATCCTACAAATGTTAATCCTGGGTTTATCTATTGTGTAAATGATTGCGGATTATAACTCATTCATTTGTTTTTAAAACTTTCCACATTTTGATTGGTTAATATTAAAATATTTTTTACTGCTAGACTGAAAAATATTTTGTGTAGCCTTTATATTTTCAAAAAAGCAGTGTCATTATTGACCCAATGCAGACAGACAACCTTATATATGCAGTGAATCAACCGAATTTACTTTTTTATTTACTGTCTATTGTGTATCGTAATTACATGTTACATGTACCACACTTCACAATTTTTCTGTCTTTGTATAAAATTTAGAAAGAAAGAACGATCAAAAAAATTTTCACTTCTCAGTAGCATTTAGGTAGCGTAATGTAATTTTTAAAAAAAAAATTATTTTCATATATATGGTAACTAAAGATATATCGTTTATGCTGAAATCTTGACCTATCGACAGCAATGTTTAAATTAAAATAATTTTCAAATGAATTCTACAGGCTTATCAAATGACTCTTGCATGGATTACCAGTAAATATTTTGTTTGAGAAAATAATTGTTTCAACAAAAAAAAATGAATGAATGTTGCCTGCTGTTCAGGTTTCCCCCTGGTGTCATAGAAAAGTGAAATGTAAAACAAACACTCACTTATAATACAATACACCACTGATGAATCCATTATATATATAAAACTATCAAATAATTATTAATAATTAAAAGAGACAATGAGATAAAATTAATGTGCATGGAAAAATATCAAATATTATACAACTATTAATCACCGTAGTAAAATTACAGAAGAAAATCATATAACGTTCACTCTGAAAACGTTTGACGTTGTTGAAAAACATGACGTCATTATTACCCTGTTAAAGTATATTTAATAAAAATGAAGAAAAAACCTACTTAGAGTAGACGTAGGGCCATAAAAATTCATATTTGACAACTTCTAACCTTACTCTATCAGAATCCGTGAAAAACTCGAAATGCATAAAAAATGCCATAAGGACCCTTTTCACATGGGCACAATCATATCTGGTGTGAAAAAAATCATTTGAAGTTTTGTGAAATTTTTTTTTTATTTATCAAGTAGCATAAAATTCATATGATGATACAGTTTTCTTGAAATTATGAGGAGAAAAAAACTGGATTAGAATTCATGGAAAATTTATAGGAAAATTTGAGAAACTCATAATTGATACTTCTTTTTCTGTATAGACGACAGTGCAGTGGGACCCTCCTAGACTACAGAGTGGGCTGGAGTTACTGGGGTATAAAATCTATGTGGATAACAAGGTCCTACGAGGTCTGCAGAGGAAAGACACTCGACAATTGGTCATTAATGACCTGGTGCCAGGTAAGAGTTATCTCCCTTAAAAAGCAATCTTGTGTATTATCTGTTGTTAAGACTGAAAATTTGATCTGGTTTTGAATAATATCTGCCCTAGTTTACACTTTTTCTGCTTTAATCAAAAGAATCTAATATATTTCAGCAAATTGAAAAATTAAATAAGATACATTAATAATTAGAAATGAAGACTATCGAAAATTTTAAAACTAATTGGTAGTTACCTGTTTAGAGAATTATCAACCCAATATTCAGCACATTTATTGCCTTTGACAAATTCTTTACAAAGATATGCATATTTTACTTTCAATTTCTGGTTTTGTTATTTAGGAAAGACAATAGCTGTATCGGTGGTGGCAGTCCTGAGACAGAGTGGTATAGAGAGTGAACCCTCCCGACAGATACACATCACCTGTCCTAAGAGACCCCCTCCCCCTCACGTCAGTCAGCAGCCCCTTCACAAACACGGCAGTGTGTTAGTGGCCTGGGACAAACCGGGAGGGGTCAGGAGAGCTGTGGCCCAGGAGGGAATCACCAGTTACAGGTACCACAAAATCTCCAGAGAATACTTGTTGTTGTACTTGGATTTTTACCATCCTAAAAGTTTATGAGTAACACAAGGAGTTTTAAACATGTGTTTTGTGCCTTGTAGAATATATGTCAATGATAAGTACTTTGGGAAGATAGATGCCTCCCCCAAAATGGATCGTCAAGGTTACCAGTATGTGATCACTGGCCTTAACCCCGAGGAAAGCTATGATGTCAAGGTCAAGGTATGGAGTATAGAATTAATTATGTTGTCAAATAATGTATCTATAAATTTCAAGGCATTAAGTATTTTTTGTATGTGATACAAAATAACTGTTTAGAGGGGATATTTTTAGCATGATGCTAAATTTTTTTTTTGATGAATTCTTATTTTATTCCCTAATTTTCACAGAGTATGGCTGGACAGAAGCATGTAGACCCTGACCAGAACCACATTTTCTGTATCAGTGAGAGTGCCTTCTCTAACACCATCCCTGTCCAGGCACCCGCGGCCCCCAAATCTCCCGAGCTCAGACTGGAGAGCATGACCCCACAGGGAATCAGGGTCACATGGCTTGCACCACAACAGTACGGCGAGGCTGAAATTTCTGTGAGTCAATGAATATCTCTAAGACAAACTCTACAATAGCTGATCTTAAAAATTCTTAAGTATATTAAATGGAATTCTACCTAAAATGCAAAGATATGTGTGCAATAATATCCTTGTTTAATCTAACATGTATGCATATGAGTTATTTCCCTTTAACTGATAATATGTAGGAAATTTAACCTCAGATAATATTTATATCATCTGTAGAAAATAACATAAACAATCACAAGAAATTTTGAAGCCAAAATCTTAACTTTTTTAATTACAATGACAGGGTTACCGTCTACTGAAGAATGGTAAACTGTACGGACATGTGATGGGCCCCGACGTTAACGCTGTAGATATTACGGGGATCTCCCTGGGTGACAAGGTCGTCCTTCAGCTGGTAGCCTTAACAAATCATCCAGTAGGAAAACTCGAGCGAGCCCTCCTGGAGCTTGAGAGGGATGAATCATCACCACGACAACAAGGTAAAAAATATTCCTGCTCCCTGTTTCTCTTTTATTTTCTTTTTTTTTTTTCATTTAAAAAAGAAGTGTGTGAAAGTGTAGATAACATGTCATTTTGTTGCATTAATTTTTTTGGTTGATTGCTCTTGAAATGTTTATGAATACTTGTGTTTCTTACTTTTAATCCTTAATTCACTTTGAAACTATCAAGAAGACATAATGGATGGCTTTTACACTTTTCTTGAATGGTAGTGAATTTTTTCAGAAGCATGTCAGAAAATCTAGTGTGCTTTTCAATTTCTTAGCCTTAAATTATTTTTTTACACAGCATATCAGGGTGTGCATAAAAATAGGGGCTGGAGAATTGCCCTGCCTATGAATTATGATAGAATTAATCCCTAAAATATGCTGGAATTGCCTCTTCAAGCCCCACTAGGGGAGGAACCTAAAACACATCTACTGTTAAATTGCCCCATTCTATCTCAATTCTTATGTACCGGTACAACCCTGGCATATGTACTGTGTTCTTTTGCTCATTTCAACTCAATGTGTAGACTATACATTATGCCTTTGATTCTAGAACTCCACATCTTTTGTCATGTTCACCATTATAGTTTGTGTTGATTTTGCACTAGCACAACTCACTGGTACTGATCAGAAAGTGTTCACTCTGACGGAGGGAGTGAAAACTAAGGGCTGGACTAAAACAGAGTCTACTAACAAACTGGAGGGTAACTAACTGATCCTTACTAATTCTTAACTCGTCAGATGCTTCAAGCAACTTGGTAGAATACTGAAGCTATAAAAAGTAACTAACTAGATATAGCTTTAATTAAAGCTCTTTGTATGCTTTTAGCTACCGTAGGCTGGTAGATTGAAGCTATCGTATACATAGTTTAGTCTGTAAAAGAGCTTTATAGCTCTTGTTTTTTTTTTTATATGTAAGACTCCAAAGTGCGATGGTGACACAAAGGTCCGATGGCCTCGCCAAACTCCGATGGTTTGCATCAAACCCTGATGGCTTGCTGTCTTTAATGCATGTACATTTGCGCAGTTTTGAGGTTTGGCGCAGTAGTATTATGTCATCATAAACGTTAATTGTTTTCTGCACCATCGGACTTTGGCTTGTCAAACATCGGGGTTTGGTGCAGACCATCGGACTTTGGAGTCCCATTGCACTTTGGAGTCCTACATATATATAGTGTGACTATTAATAAAATTTACTATGACTATATTTACTCCGTAACTGAATACTAACTTGTTATGCTTAATGTGCTTAAAGCTACTTAGTAGATTGAAGCTAAAGGATAATTTAATAGATCCTACCAACTCTTTACTAATTTTATGCTTAAAGCTACATAGTAGATTGAAGCTAGCTAGCGGTTAACTAACTAGATGCTATATTTTTGCTTAAAGCTCATTTTATGCGTAGAGGTACTTAATAGATTGAAGCTCATGCAGGTATAAATATCCAGATCCTAACTAATGACCAGTACTTTGTATGCAGAAAGCTGTATCTAGCTAATAGATTGAAGCTATACTGATTGTTAGGAAATGTGTTTAAAAAAATCAAACATTGCCACATTAAACATTGATCAATGTTGAATATTTAAATTAGTGCTGGAAGAAAAAATGAGTTATTCCCCTTTTTACCTATACAATGTCAAGAAAAATGTAATTGATATTACTATCAAAAACTTTGAATAGTATTGTTTAAAGTTTATTCATAATAAGTACAATAAAGGGAATGAAGATTCACATGGTATCCTCATTTGTAACATTACTGAGAAGAAAATGAGGCATCTGAATAAAGTAACCTCCTGGCTGGGACATAAAATTTTGACACTTTTGGCCTGAAAATTTTAACTAAAGATTATATTACCGTAGATCTGGAAATTTTTACGTCGATTTTATTTTGCGAATTTGGGTGAAAATGCTGTTGATTAATTTTAACGTTTCAAAATTTTGCGAATGTCCACGCTTTTGTTTACATTTTCTTACTGGTAATTAATTTTTAAGAAAAATATTTTTGCGAATGCAATGAACTCGCAAATTTGCTAAAAATTTATATACAGCAAAAATTTCTAGATTTATGGTATATGCCTAAGTTGTAAAAGTTAACCTTAATTGCTCTAATATTTATATAGGTATACCTTTTAAAGCATAATCATTGCTTTAAAAAAATGTTGACTTCTTGAATATTGTAAACTATAATAGTTTTATTTCTTGAAGAAAAATTTCTTGAAAGAAAATAAAAAAAAAATTGTTGATATTTGGCATTTTCAAAGATAATGATCTGTTATGTGCAATGTTTTTGTTATTTATGACAATGTCTAGATTCACTGATTGACATTCAATACTTCACACATAGACATAGAAACTACGAAGGGCTTATTGTCACCGATTTAAAACAATAAGCAGTTTTTACACATCACTAACTTCAAATGCTTCTTTCACTATTAACTGATCATAATAAAATTCAGTGCCATTAATAGAGTAATTTGATCACTGTCATTCCAATTTTCAATATGCTCTCCAAGCATTGTATTTGTAACATATTAACTGATTTACATGCTTCTTTCACACATACCACCCTCTTAGAAAGCCATGATTAATTTTTTTTTCTCTTTGCATGAAACTAAATTTCCTTGTATATACTGTATTAGCTTACTAACTGATTTTCCAGCTAGTTCATTTCTAATAAAATGTTCACCATTTAAATTTCTCTATAGGAATTTCTGTAGATTAATTTTTCCTTGTTATAAAATCTAATCCTTATTTCATACTTTTTACCAAAAACATTTTTTTTCAAAAACTCACTTTTCCATTTTATTACTTTAACAGATATGTTGCTGGGAGAGAAATATGCGGGTTGTCGACCAGGTCCTAAGCTGACCGTTCACTACACAGGTCTGGTCAAGGCTCCAGATGATGTGTGGCTGGAACAGGTGACTGGTCACTCAGCACTCGTGGTCTGGAAAAAAGGTAGGCTAGCTAGTACACTTGTACTGTCAACTTGATTGTAAAGTTTCATCTACAAGAATGTAAAACAGTGCAAATTAAATAAACCTCTGTTTTGACTTCTGATTTAGCTAGTACTGAAATACACTAACATTTTCCACACGTTCATGTTTCAAAATCTGCCAAATAAGCACATCTAGTTTTCTCAATAAACATGATGGGGTATAAGTGAGAGAATCTCACTCCAAATGAAAAGGAACTCAGCAGTCAGCTGAATATTTTCTAAATTTTCAAGAAAAAAAATTTTACTAGGTGTTTTAAAGGTGACATACAGTCAAACCTGTTTTAAGAGGCCACTTGTGGGAGAATGACAAATTGGCCACATAAGACAGGTGGCCACTTATTCCAGGTTTCAAACAAAGGACTAAAAAATTGTGATCACAGTTGTTTATTAATTTTCAAACGTATCCAAACCACAATTTCGACACATTAAAAAAAGGAAGTTTTAAGTCATTTGAGATCCCTTTTGTTACATTTCATTTTCATCAATTTAGGAAAGAAATCTATTACAATTGTTTTTTATTGCTGTTGTTGTTTCGTGTTGGTAATTTTAACAGTTTCACAGCTATCAAATTTACATCACACGAACTCATGAAATGTCTAAAAAAAGATAGCATTTCCCTGATGCTGTGAAAGCTTTTTGGTTTTTCTTGATATGCTTTATAAAAACATAGTAGGGTTATAACCCGAGACTGACCACTTGACTTAATAACCTCAGGCGAAATTGTAAAATTTTTATAATGTATTGAGTTTATAACATGAACGTATTCAACAGCTGTTCAACAACTTACTTTTGTATATTAATAAAGAACAAAAAAGAAAAAAAAAACATTTGTAAACAATAAATTATTTAATCATATTAATTAAATCATTAAATCCTGACAGAATTCAAATTACACCTGCAATTATCGGTAATTACTCATTATCAGCTGTTCATATTTGGCTTCTCGATGATACGAGGTCACGTGCCAGACGGAAGTCATGTGACTTAACAGACAAAATGGCCGCTAAAAACAGGCATGTTGAGCGCACGGGACCTAAAAACACTGGCCACTGGCCGCGTTAGACAGGTGGCCGCTTAAATGAGTTAAAATATAGTGAAAAAATGAACGGGCGGGATTGAAACTGGCCGCTCATGACGAGTGGCCGCTGATTAAGGGTGGCCGTAACAGCAGGTGTGACTGTATTAGATAGTCATTATTGTAGGAAGATGGTCAAAATAACATGCATTCAAAATGGGAGGAACCCTACAAGCCCTTATTATGAATCAGTCTTACAGCTCTAAGATGACATAAATACCACTTCTTACCCTGAAACGAACTTAATTAAAGCTTGTGCTTTAATTGTCAATAAAGCCATAAATCATCTCTTAAGTGACATAAATATTGAAATGATTGGAAATGTACACAGACCGTGAATTTCACAGATAATACATATGAAAGCCTGTTTATTGATTTGACATATCCATGCAAGAATAAAGAATGTTTAAATCAAAGTTGCATAATGCCTGGTTAAAGTATGATTTTGAATTTCATTAAATTAGGGGCCATTTTCCCATCTCTTCCTCCCATATTTCAATAATAAAAGAGACATTTATGAACACATAAGCCCAACAGCTCATAATTATATTGGCATATTGAAGGTTGTTAAGACTAGAATTTTATGTTGGCATTAAACTAAAATAGCTCTGCAGCCTTTAGGTACAAACTTTCCATATATGGCATCAAAATGGTTGCAATTTATTTCAATGTTACTAAAATCACCCTCTTGAAAGGGTTGGATTAACAGAGCCACAAGGGTTAGATAAAATTTAGAAGATCGTTACGTCCCAAGCCATCGGTAACATAACTACAGTACAAGATCTGATAGAAGCCGTGTACTCGAGCTAAAAACAATAGCTAGCACGAGGGTCCTCTCATCGCAGCGCGAAATATATGCCCTTTAAAAATCATGGTCTGCTAGACTCTTGAGCGAATGGGAGATCATCTAGAGATTCAGGTTGACTATAAAATACTTCTGTGGTTTATCAGATCTTCAATCTTATCCGGTGATGATCATGAGGCTTTTTTGTATGGTCGTCTGTCAGTTGTAAAAATTATTGGAGATGCATGCAATGTCATTCTACAATTTGTATTTAAATGTGTAACTTTTAGAAGTATGGAGCACTAAAAAGATTAAGAGAAATAATGTCTCAAAATTATAAAATTAAATGGAACTTGAATAATGGTCTACTTTAAAATTATGTTAATCAAATTAATGATAATTTTTCAATTTTGTGTATTTTTGAATTTTTCTTCTTTTTTTTTGGTACATAGATCTATTCTTTAT